CCCTACTATTCCACTGGTACTTTCAACTCATCTCTTCAGGGGGACACTTCATGTGAAGAGACTACGCTTGTCAAGTAGCAAACCTATAATAACCCAAGATGGAACATAATTCATAGAGTTGGAAGCCACAAAAGAAGAATTAAATTCCCAAACGACAAATCCAGACATTGTTGTGCCTGATGCTGTCCAAAATGCTATAGAGCCTAACGCGGTCAATGCCAGTATTGAAGAACCCGTGTTAACACCACCACCTGAAGAGTCTTCACAGAATGAACCAGGTAATATCACTAACCATGATTCCTTGCCCCGTTACCCTGTGAGATCAATTATACCTGATCTTTATTCTTGTGCCAAATATTCCATAAATAATTATACCTCTACTAGTTGATTGATGGATTCTTATGCTCTAATTGTTGATCAATTATCCAAAGTATCTATTCCTAGTAGCGTACAGGATGAATTGGAAGATTCAAAATGGAAAGAGGCTATGAATGAGGAAATGAAAGCACTGCAAAAGAATTTAACTTGGGAACTAGTCTCACTAACTAAAGGAAAAAAGACAGTTGGATGTAAATAGGTGTGTACGATAAAACTCAAAGAAGATGGAAGCATTGATAGGTATAAGGCAAGACTAGTGGCAAAAGGGTATACACAAAAATATGTAGTCAATTATCAGGAGACTTTCGCTCCAGTAGCAAAACTTAATACTGTTCGTATACTAATATCAATTGCAGCTAATCGAGACTGGCCGCTACTACAGTTTGATGTAAAAAATGCCTTCCTAAATAATGACTTGGAAGAAGAGGTGTAAATGAAAATTCCTCCAGGGGTTAAACAAGGTCTCGCACATAAAGGAAAAATATGTAAGTTGAAGAAATCACTGTATGGATTGAAACAATCTCCTAGAGCTTGTTTTAGCAAGTTCACCGAGGCTATGAAGTCAGTTGGGTACAAGCAAAGTAATTCTAATCATACTTTATTCATCAAACACAGGGACATGAAAGTGACAGTTTTGATTGTATATGTAGATGACATGATCCTAACAAGAAATGACTCGGAAGAAATGGAGAATTTGCAACGATATGTGGCAACCAAGTTTGAAATAAAATATATAAGACATTTACGCTACTTCCTTGGCATCGAAGTGTCACGATCCAAGCAGGGAATTTCACTCTCTCAACGAAAGTATGTGTTAGACTTGTTAGCAGAAACTAGTATGTTAGACTACAAACAGGTTGAAACTCCAATGGAGATGAACCATCAGCTTAGAATATCCACCGGAGAACGTATGTGTGATAAAGGTCGATACCAGCGGCTAGTAGGAAAATTTATCTATCTCACTCACACCAGACCATATATTGCATATAAAGTAAGTGTGGTTAGCCAATTTATGCATGCTCCAGATGAGGAACATAAGAACGCAGTTTACATAATCTTGAGGTATCTAAAGAGCGCACCATGATGAGGGTTGTTGTACACCAAAAATGGAGCCTATACCATAGAAGGATATAACGACACAGATTGGGAGGAGATCAATCAACAAGAAAATCCACCTCTGGATACCTTACATTTGTAGAAGGAAATCTGGTTACTTGGAGGAGTAAAAGGCAGAAGGTTATTGCTCGATCCAGTGCAGAGGCAGAATTTCGAGGAATGACACAAGGCTTATGTGAATTACTGTGGATAAAGAAAGTCTTGGAAGAGCTAGGAATTGAATGCAAAGAATCCATGAACTTATTCTATGACAACAAAGTTGCCATACAGATTGCTCAGAATCCGGTTTAACATGATCGCACTAAACACGTTGAAATAGATCGTCATTTCATTAAGGAAAAGTTGGACCATCGAATAATTCAATTCCCATTCGTGAAGTCGGAAGACCAACTTGCTGGCATACTCACTAAGGAAATATCTGGAAGAAACTTCCATATGATGATTGACAAGTTATGCATGATAGACATATATGACCCAACTTGCGGGGGAGTGTTGACAAGGAGAGATTTCCACCCTGATTACCTCAAATAAAAGAGGCAAGATTGGAGTGTTGACAGAGAGAGATTTCCTCTTTGATTACTGTTGAGTTGTATACATTTAATAGTATTTGTAATCAATCTGATTTTGATTTTGTTAGCAATTATAGGAATTGATTGTAAATAGAATTGATTGATAGGAGATATCAAATCCATGATTTGTGGCTTGATTGAAACCCAATATTAGTGTATATAATTACTTCTGTACAAAGGAAGTAAAATACAGATGAGTTATCAGTTTGCATGTTCCATTTTTTTACATTATCAGTCTACCTGTTCCATTTTTCTACAAAGAGTGAGAAAGGCCAAGTTTTATTCATTAATCACGAAGAAATTCTTATGCATTTTCATATTAATTCATTCAGCTACTAAACTTTTATAATAAATTATTTTGACAACATAAATTTTATTTAATTTTCCAGTGTGACTTCCTATGTCTTCATTGAATTGCTGTACTTGCTCCGACTAGAAGATGTTATCTCAGACGGTAAGCAATTTTGTTATGCACGGCACGCACCAAAATTTTCACCCCGTTTTTATGCCAATGGCCACATAATACAAGCTCGTCAATATTGCTCGATAATCACTAACGTAGAAATGATGACATAAATGACTCTTCTCTGTAGTCTACAGCAATATCAGTTGGTTTACATAGCATTATGAGAAAATCTCATCTTCCAATTTTCCACAACCCCAAAAGAAACGATTGTTATTTACAAAAAAAAAAGAAAAAAAAAGAAACGATTGTCTAATCAAAGTAAAATACCAAAAAAAAATGAGTCCACCAAATATGCTTTGAGCCCACATAATGACATAAATGACTTCCCAACGCCGAAATATTAATTAGCTAGTCTACGTAGCATGAACAGTAAACTTTACCTTCCGGTCTTCGAGATTATTTATTGTGAACCAGGACTATCATTTTTTAAGTGGTCTCTTAGTGTAAATAGGAGGGTAAAATTGCAAAAGAGGAAAAATAACAGGATAAAAAAGAAAAGAAAAAATTAATGTTGTGAGAGGGAGCACCAAAAGATTCAGTGGTCCTGGACCATATAAAATATTTCCCAATCTTCCAGAAATATTTATTATGCTCTAGGACCATCCAATGATTTGGTGCTCCCTCTCACAACACTAATTTTTCTTTCACTTTTTACCCCTGCTATTTTTCTTCTTTTCCAATTTTACCCTCCCATTTACACTAAGGGACCACCTAAAAAATGGTAGTCCCGATCCACTATAAATTCTCTCCGGTCTTCCACCCCAAAAGACATGAATATCAAGGTAAAAACATAAAATATTGGGCATATGAAAAAGTGGTCCTGAGATCATGTTATTTGATCACAACCATTCATTGATGATGAGATAAGAGAGAGAAAAGTGTATAATTTTTAAATGAGTGATTGTGATCAAATAATATGACCATATAAACACATTTTCACATGATAGGATCTATTCCCCAAAATATTAGTCAAGTTGAAGCAGACGTGCACAAACATTTAGGGCTTTGTTTAAGAGTGTGTTTGGTACGCCGATTTTATTTGGGTGCCAGGGAAAACGACATTGGGAAAAGGGAAAAGCTGTGTTTGACACCAAAAAAATAGCTAGCTTTCTATCTGATTTTTTGTTTTTATGTGACAAATCCTGTACGGCATGCAACCCAGGTTGTCCATCGATAGTGTGGGATACGTTGCCCAGGGAAGTAAAAAATGAAGTGCGAAAAAATGGACCAAAATAACCTTCTTGATTATATCATCTGTGAACAACTCTTTTTGAATGAAAATGTAAAGGTGGGGTTATTTTTGTAAAATAACCCCATATTCCTATTATTATTTTACAATCAACTAAACATCAACTCAGAAAACTTAATCAAATAATCTCAGAAAAATTTTGGTCAACCAAACACTTTTTTGTTACTTATCCGATAAAAAAAAATTTCACATACTTTTCGGTAATATTTTTTTTCCAGTAAAAAAAATTATCGTGTATCAAATGCTTCGTAAGAGTCATCTTTTTTTCTTTTTGGGAATAGCGAAAGAAGAGAAATGTTTTATTGACCCGTTCTTTTTATTCGCGAGTTTAGAAAAATGGATGAAGATAGTTGGAGATTTTTGCAAAATTCTTTAAATTAAAGTTTTTCAAATTTAGGTAGTTTGAGGGGGATTTTTAATTCTCAAATATAGAAAAGGGAATACTCTTTATTTTCCTTCCTATCTTTTTCCTCTCTCCCTCCCTTCAATTTCCTTACACTCTTACTGGGAGCATTGACCGCTGACTAGTAACCAAAACTAGAGGGAAAAAATCAGAGGGATATCAAGACAGAAGAGAGAATAGGCCAAGTTTTATTCATTAAACATAAAGAAATTCTTATATATCTTCATATTAATACACTCAACTACTTAATAAATTATCATAAAATTAATTTGAGAACATAAACTTAATTTAATTCCTGTGTGACATGCTATGTTTTGATTGAATTGCTGTATTATTTGATTAACATGTGATGTTCTACTTACTTTTGAGCCAAATGTTCCAACTTGAAGTCTCTGAGTTTGTACCAGATACTTTCTCAATTGCTAAGTCACTCAATTGTTCACAATGCATCTAATCTAAACGTTTGATATTAGATAGCTTTTCAATCTAGAAGAAATTCCACCGTAATAATACAAGTCATCCCTGTCAATGTACCAACTCAGGGGTTGTTGGTTATTAAATTCCCATTGATCGGGCCCATATCTGTTTGCATCTTTATTGTCCTTTTTCTTCTCTTCACACCCAAGTCTATGTGAATGCAGCAAATATAGACTGGGCGTAGATCAATTGATTTGACTTATAAGGGGTGCTAGTTTCCCATTATGTTGCCTCTGGTATTTAAGGGCATAGAGTAACACAAGGAAGTAACATCCTTCTTCTATGTTTCCACCCAATTATCAAACTCCAGTGGCCTCGTCTTCCTCAACCAAAAAATGAAAACCTTTCTCATGATACATGAATTTTGCTCCACATGCCTTCACCTATTTCTTCTCTTTAATTTGAACTCACTCTGGTTTAGCCCAAACACAACTGCCTCTGCATCAGGAAATGAGACTGATCATTTGGCATTGCTCAAATTCAAGGAATCAATATCCAATGACCCATATGGTATCTTGGTTTCTTGGAATAGTTCTACCCACTTCTGCAATTGGCATGGAATCACATGCAGCCCCATGTATCAAAGAGTCACTGAGTTGAACCTACAAGGTTATCACTTGTATGGATTCATATCTCCACAAGTTGGCAATCTCTCTTCTTTGAGAAACCTCAATCTCGAAGACAATAGCTTCTACGGGAAAATCCCACAAGAATTGGGTCTATTGTTAAAACTGCAGCAACTTTCTCTCACCAATAACTCGTTGACAGGGGAAATTCCTACAAACTTGACAAGTTGCACTAATCTCAGAGGCTTACAATTGCGAGGAAACAATCTAATTGGCAAAATACCAATTGAAATGGGCTCCCTCCAGAAACTTCAGCAATTGTCCATTGGGAGAAACAATTTAAGTGGAGGAATCCCACCATTCATAGGGAATCTTTCATCCCTAACTGGTTTCTCAGCGAATTATAATAACTTAGAGGGAGATATTCCACAAGAATTATGCAGTCTCAAAAACTTGACAAAGATAGCCGTAGGTGTCAACAAACTATCTGGTACATTTCCCTCTTGTCTTTACAATATGTCATCTCTCACTATAATCTCTGTTGATGGGAATCAATTTAATGGCTCTCTTCCACCCTACATGTTTCACACCCTCCCAAATCTCCAAGTATTTTTAATTGGTGGCAATCAAATCTCAGGTCCAATCCCCATTTCCGTTGCAAATGCTTCTGTCCTTCAATTACTTGATATTCAGGGAAACCATTTCAAGGGACAAGTTCCAAGTTTGGGGAAGTTACAAGATCTTAAATTCCTAGGTTCGTCTCTCAACAATCTAGGTGACAATTCAACTAGGGATTTAGAGTTTTTAAAATCATTGACAAACTGTAGTAAGTTGTATATGCTTGATATATCCAACAATAATTTTGGAGGTAGTTTGCCAAATTCCTTGGGCAATTTATCCTCCCAACTCAGTCAACTATATCTAGGGGGTAATCAGATATCAGGGAAAATTCCTATGGAATTAGGAAATCTAGTTAGTTTAATTCTCTTGAGCATGGGACTTAACCACTTTGAAGGGGTTATTCCATCAGCTTTTGGAAAGTTTCAAAAGTTGCAATATTTAGAATTGTATGGAAACAACCTGTCAGGAAATATACCAACCTTCATAGGCAACCTCAGTCAGTTGTTTCATTTGCGTTTAGGACACAATATATTAGAAGGAAATATTCATCCAAGTATAGGAAACTGTCAAAATTTACAATACCTGGACCTTTCTCAAAACAAACTTACAGGAACCATACCCTTAGAGGTTTTTAGCCTTTCCTCTTTAACAAACTTACTAGACTTGTCACAAAACTCTTTGAGTGGCAATCTACCCGATGAAGTGGGTTTGCTAAAGAATATTGATGCATTGAATGTCTCTGAGAATAATCTATCTGGCAATATTCCTGAAACCATTGGAGAATGCACAAGTTTGGAGTACCTTTATTTGCAGGGAAATTTCTTTCATGGAATCATACCCACCTCTTTGCCTTCACTAAAAGTTCTTCGACATTTAGACTTATCACGAAACCGCTTGTATGGATCCATTCCTAAAGGTCTCCAGAATATTTCTTTCTTAGAATACTTGAATGTATCTTTTAACCTGTTGGAGGGTGAGATACCAACTGAAGGTGTTTTTCGAAATCCAAGCCAGATAGCATTGACAAGAAATAATAAGCTTTGTGGAGGTGTTTCAGAGCTACATCTACCGCCATGCCCTGTCAAAGGTGAGAAACATGCAAAACATCACAATTTCAAGTTGATAGCAGCGACAATTAGCGTAGTTGCTTTTCTTCTCATATTGTCATCTATTCTCACTTTCTACCGGATGAGGAAAAAAAGCAAGAAACCATCTTCTAATTCACCAACAATTGACCAGTTGGCCAAGGTTTCATACCAAAACCTACACCGTGGAACTGATGGGTTTTCAACAAGAAACTTGATAGGATCTGGAAGTTTTGGCTCTGTGTACAAAGGAACTATTGAGCCAGAAGACAGAGTTGTTGCCATAAAGGTCCTAAACCTACAAAAGAAGGGAGTTCATAAGAGTTTTATTGCTGAATGTAATGCACTAAAAAATATTAGGCATCGAAATCTGATTAGGATATTAACATGTTGTTCTAGCACAGATTTCAAAGGTCAAGAATTTAAAGCTCTAGTTTTTGAGTATATGTCAAATAGAAGCTTAGAAAGTTGGTTGCATCCAGAAATAGAAGTTGCAGATCAACCTAGATCACTGAACTTAGAGGAAAGGTTAAATATTATTATTGATGTCGCTTCAGCATTTCATTATCTTCATTACGAATGTGAGCAAGCTGTCATTCATTGTGATTTGAAGCCTAGCAATGTTCTTCTTGATGATTGCATGGTAGCTCATGTGAGTGATTTTGGCCTAGCAAGATTGCTCCCAAGTGTTGGAGTTTCTCTGATGCAAAGTAGCACAATTGGAATTAAGGGGACTGTTGGTTATGCTCCTCCAGGTATAACATGATATTGTTTGGTTAAGTTATGAAATTCTTCTTAGGACGTTTTATTTCCATTTGGGTTAATATTTTGATCACTTTAATAACATTAACTGATTTGCATTATGTATTTCAGAGTATGGAATGGGTCTTGGGCTGTCAATTGAAGGTGATATGTATAGCTTCGGAATTCTGGTTTTAGAAATGTTAACTGGAAGAAGACCCACAAATGAAATGTTTAAAGATGGTCATACTCTCCACAATTATGTTAAAATTTCAATTTCAAATAATCTTGTGGAGATTGTGGACCCAACTATTCTCCCGAATGAATTAGAACGAGATACTGACAATAAGAACCTTGATCTTACACATCCTAATATGGAGAAATGTTTACTCTCTCTTTTTAGGATTGCACTTGCTTGTTCATTGGAATCACCAAAAGAAAGAATGAGTATAATTGATGTCACCAAGGAGCTTAATTTGATCAAAAGTTTCTTCCTTTCTGGGGTTTAGTGGAGGCAAGCTGCATTACAACCACAAAACACATGATGGAGAGGAGCCACCTTAATATTGCTATCAATTAATACAAGCAGATGTTTCGTAAGGTCCTTGTTCTTGTTATCTATTATCTGAATGTTTTCATGTAGAAGTTTGTCAATTTACATTAAAAAAAATAGATCTTGAATAGTTGATAATTTTTTAATATATCCATTTGATTCCAGCCTCCCTGCATGCTTGATATCGTTACTTAAATTATGTTGCAATATAAACAATATTACTCCACATCATCTGTGTATTATTCCCATTTTTTATTGCCAGAAAAACCCAATATGCTGGGACTAATTGTGTCAAGTGATGTGACTATTTATTTAAACTCGTATTCTGCTTCTCCCATTCATCCTACCAGTTTGGATGCATGAAAAAAGAACAATAGAATATTTAACATTATATTAAACTGAACACTATAACTTAATTCTCAAAATATTCAATAGAAAATGGACTTTTTACTTCATAAAAAATACAAAGGGTGAAGTTAGTGGGAGCCTACTGTCATTATCAAAACCATACCAGCTAATTCAAATCATAAGCAGGAATCAGGTAGTACATCAGTCAATTTCCAATCTCCTAAAACATAAGCATAATTTACAGTTTGTTGTATTCTAGTTCTACTGATCTATTACATATACATAAGCTGAAGCAAATTGCCCTGTTAACTCTTCCTCATATCTTTTTTTTAAGTCACATCAGCAGAATTTAAACATTATTAACTTCACATTTGTAGTCTTTTCAATTCCTCTCATTGGTTGGTTAAATGTCTTTGAACTCTTATTCTCAACATCTCTGGCTTTGTTGCCACATTTCTACATTCATGCATTGTCTTTTCACTTCCCTTACCACTATCCATGTCTTTAATGTTTCTATCTATCTTTGTCATGAATGAGGTTACAATGGCTAAATAACTCAAAACACAATAACTGTCTTGCCGAGAAATTCTCTTATTTCTCCTCAAGCTCAGGACTCTGGAGGTGCCATGTCAGTTCTTCCTTGTTCCTTGTATTTAAGCCACATAAATAAAATCTAAACATTCTTAACTCCTCAGTCAGCGTCTTTCCAAAAGGAGCAAATCTTGATAGAATAATAGTGTTTTCTTTTTTACCCATTCCCTTTCCTCATGGTTGTGGAAATTATTAGGTAGTCTAGGAGTTTTGGATTTTAGTTACATGAAAAGTGAAATGCTTTAGTTAATTATTATCTGATATAAACCCATTATTTTTAAAATGTCCGCTCCAAGTTTTAATTATTAGATTTAGTATTTATTTTGATTTATGATGAAAAATTAAAGCTACTTATGTGGAAACAAAATTGGATTCTAACACGCAGGTTAATTGTTTAAGGGAAATACTATTCTCATCTTACTAAGGTAAACTTCAAAAATCTCACTCACTCTTTTTTTTTTTTTTTTAATGGTGGGTCCCACGTGGTTTCTCTCTATAACGAGATTAGCATTTCCCATTGTTTAATGCTAGAACCTATCTTTATTGTGGTATCACTAATCAAATGACTTGATAAGCATATCCTTTATTTTATGATCAAATTAATAATCTCATATCTTGGAATCATTTTGTAGAAGGGTAAAGGATTTCTCCGGTCAATGGAGATAAGTTATCTCCGGTGAGCCCAAAATGACATCATTTTGGAGCGAAAATCAAGGTATTTTTGTAATTTTAATATATTGCAGAGTTATATTAGTCTTTATTATATAATTTTTTAATTTTATAATCCTAAAACTACGTCGTTTTGAGCTTACTGGAGATAATTTTATCTCCAGTAACTGGAGAAATACTTTTTTCATAAAATGCGCAAAATCACACAACAAAATGAAGGAAGGATGTGGAGGAAAGGAATCTTACACTTAAGCTTAAGGCTGGACACAACAAAAGATCATAAATTATGGTTGTCGATGTTATACTAGAAATTTTAAACACTAAAATAATAATAATAATAATAATTATTATTATTATTTCATAGTCGTTAAACATTTTATAATACCCCTAACCTGATTAATTAGTAAATTATATGTAGTTAAGTAATTAAGCTAGTATAAGTGGGTTGAATTAAGTAAAAGACCTAATGAAATGAATTAAGGTTATTTTTTAGGTAAAAAGTGCAGTCAGTGAAAATTAAGGGATAAAAAGGGGTGTAGGCAAAAATACCCAAAATATAAAGGTAAAAGTAAAAATATTTCTAAAAAAATATTCCAGACCTTTGGGTAAAGTTTGAAAGTGAACAAAGTTAATTAGATAGATAAACTTTTATCCAGTTAAAATGACCTTCCTTAATTAAGTGGCAAAACATGAAAAAGTCTTCTCATTTTTCTTCTTCTTTTTCGACACTTCAGAATTAAGGGATAAAAATGGGTGTAGGCAAAAGTATCTAAAATATAAAGGTAAAAGTAAAAATATTTCTAGAAAAATATTCCAGACCTTTGGGTAAAGTTTGGAAGTGAACAGAGTTAATTAGATAGATAAACTTTTACCCAGTTAAAATGACCTTCCTTATTTAAGTGGCAAAACATGAAAAAGTCTCCTCATTTTTCTTCTTCTTCTTCGACGCTTCAGAGAGGGTGAGAGGGAGAGAAAACCATTGAAGTCAAAACCCTAACTCCCTTGATTCTCCACCAAATCAACTCATTCCAAAGCCAATATTGCATTAAATTCATCCCTCTTCAAAGCCCACTACTCTATTCTTGTTGGGAACCATTGTGGAGGGAGATCTCACCTTGCTTTGGGGGCGAAAATTTGAGTGTGGAGAGAGTTAGGAGTGAAGTCTCTTCACTTGGTGGCTTGATTATCCTTTCTTGCACCTTTGAGGTAGCATTTGTGGTAAGAATACCAATCCTTGTTGTATGATTGAAGAAACTCATATGTGGGGTTTTGTTTAGGAAATTTATGAACAATGGAGTGTGCTAGAGAAAGATTGAAGCTTTGTCCCTTTGTAAAAGTTGTTGAAAATGATAATTAAATGGTAAAAATGAAGTTAGTTTGTCATTTGGCTTAGTTTCATTATTTGGGGGAAATTATGCTTGAAAGTGTGGGTTTTCTTGCATTGTTGAACCTTGATTGATGGTGTCCCTTGTATGGCTAGGATTGAAGCAAATGGACCTAGTGGAATGACCAATCCTTGTGGTTGTGTTCAATTGAGGAAATGAAAGATTTGATGAAAGTTCGAGAGCAAGGTAAACTTTTGGACCTTGGAGTTGATCCCCTTGAATGTTCCACCATACTCCGCTGAGGAGGAATGGTTATGAGGTGTGATATGTAATGATGATAGTAATTGTATGCTCATGCATTGATAAATGTTATGATTGATTAATGATTATTGATTGATGTTTGATTGTTTAAGAGTAATTGAGGAATGGTTGATAGATGTAAAAATAATGAATGAGGTAATGGTTGAGCATTATGATTGAGGTTTTGTTGATAGTTGCGAGATAAGGTAGGAACTGATGAATGAGAAAAGGGATTGAATAGTCCTTGGATTAGTCCAATGGATGTAACTAGTATGATGGATATGAGGACTTCCCCTGGAAACAGCCCTATGAGGATCTTTAGGTGGTTTGTCTTACCCTTGGAAACAGCCCTATGCGGATCTCCTTGTGGTGAGAGCCTAAGAAAGATAGCCCTGTTGTGGATCTCTCTTGGAAGTGCTAGTATTATGATGAGGATGATTGGTAGGGACTTCACTTGAAAACAGCCCTATGTGGATCTCCATGTGGTAAGAGCCTAAGAGAAACAGCCCTTGAGGATCTCTCTTGGAAGCCCTTAGTGTGAGATTGTGGACTTCCCTTGGAAACAGCCCTATGCGGATCTCCTTGTGGTGAGCACCTAAGAGAAATAACCCTTGAGGATCTCCCTTGGAAGTTCATGTGATGTTTATGGATAAGAATGTGTTAAGTTGGTATTATTATGTGTTCCCCGAAAGTGAACCTTAGGATGGAGTGATCTCCAAGGACCCCTGGTTTACTGTGATATATTCGTATATTTCACCCCGTATTGTGGGGCATCATTTTAGGTATTGGTAGATGTGAGGTTGATTGAGGCAAGAAGCATGAGTAGATTATACCTGATAGCTGAATATTTTGAGTTGCATGCCATTCAGAATTGTTATATGTATTTATTTTGAGGCCATGTGATGTAGTATGAAGGACTTAGTCCATGATCATTGTTATAGTAATTGTCTTGTGTATATGGCTAATCGCTATGATCTTGTTTTTGGATAGCTAAGTTCTTTGGCATGTAATTATTTTGAAGAGCATTGATGTAATAGGATATTATGTTGTTGTACTTATAGGTTGGTGCATGGATTATTTAAGGGAATAAAGATAAATGAAGGGATGTAAGAGCCATAATATGTGTTGAATGTTGTTGGTCATTCCTAGCTTATTAGGTGTTAAGAGAATGATGAAAGAGGGAGGAATTTCCTCAAGAAATTACATGAAAACAGGGGAGGGCATGTGTTGCCCAATTGGAGAGCGTTTTAGTGCTGATAAGGGCGCTAAAATGCGCTGTGTTCGTGAAATGGAGAAAAATTCACTGCCCTTGGACGTTTTAACGCTCAAGTTGGAGCTCAAACGCTCAAGTGGGCGCTAAAACGCGTAACCCAAAAAATCAGTAAAAACTTAGTTTAGTAAAACTGGCATAACTCGAGCTACAGAGCTCTGATTTGAGTGCGGTTTGAACCCACTCGAATCAAACAAAGAAATCTATAATATAATAGGAGATGAGAACTATAAAGTAAGTATATAATTTATATAATAATAAAACAGATGAAGACACTTAACAACGTGTGGTCTAATAAAATAAGAATATGATGTTAAGCTTAGTTTCAGTTATTCTGCAATGTCATATGGTTATGGTGACGCAATTGGTTGTTTTAAATTCGGCTTTGTTCAAAAAGAAAGTTTATCTGAATTTCTAATTGAACCAATGTGATTGTAACCGCGCTTAATATCATAAAGTAATGTTAACAAACCGGTTCTAGAACGGGGTGTTATATTTTATGGTTTTCGTGGTTTTCGTTTTTTTGTAATCTAATGGTGTTAAGAAAGGTAGGCAAAAGTAGGCAAAATAAGAGTAGACAGAATAACTTATCCCAAATATATAATATGGCTGGTTATGTTGTTTGCCTATTTAATTTTTTATTCTTATTATATTTTTATCACTATTAAATTGAACTTAAATTAATTATCCCAAATATAATAATTTTTAAAAAGATAAACATCTCTGTCTCTTTATTTATATATGCTTAAAAATCGTTAATTTCTTCAGTACTCAATGCCCATGTTTCTTCAGTCAACATTAGGTATAATAAAATATTTACAAATTACCTGTAAATCAATATTGTATCGTTTAAACAAATTTGTAGAACTTTCCTAAGCTGAAAGTTTCAAACACTTATATTTTCTAATATTAATTTTTTACAATAATAAAATAATCATTTATTAATTAAACTAATGTTATCTTAATTGTTTAATTTATACTTTATAGAAATATCTAAATGCACGGGATAATTGTTATAAGGCTGATTGAATCATTGCGAAAATGAAAAAAAAAAGAACAAGATTATTTTGCTTGAATGAAAATTGATGGCGCATGCATGTTCCAAAATTCATATTTAATTTATTCTTTTTTCCTTATAACATGCCAAATAAATCTCTACGGAAATTTCGCAGCAGCCTCTGTTGATGTGAAGAAAAGGAAATAAAAAAATAAATTAATACAAGTTGCTATTATAGTCAAGTTGAGTTAGTCACATTATTGAAATTAGTACACCTACCCCATTGTTAATTATTATCTGTCAATGTTTTTTAGATAAGAACTATCCACCAATGTACACATGATGATATGTTATATATTAAAATAATTCATGTTTATCTTATAAAAGGAATTTTTTATTATGCTCCAAGACGACCGTGGTCCTTTTACTAAAAAATTGACACGCGAATTAAATTTTTTCTTTTCTTTTCTCTCTCTCCTGAACCTTTTCTCTCTTTCTCACACCTCAGTTCCACCCAATTTCTTTTACTCCCGGACCACGTTAAGTTTGCTCCTCATAAAACAACATGATATTGATAATTTTTTTTTTTTATACGAAAACTACAAATCCTTGTTGATGTTATCAACAAGTGACACACATCCGTCATGTTGCATGGACAAAAAAATAAAAGAAAGATAGGTAGTAAGTTCATTGTCAGAAAGGTCACGAAAAAAAGTATCTTCTTAGAGTAGATCAAAATAGAAAGAAGTTTGAAGTTAAAATTTTCACATAATAAATATCCTTGATTTCGCTTTTGACTCCATGCCAAACGCATCTTGGTCCACCGACAATTCTTATCCTGATTACAAAATCTGGTGTAGTTTGGACCAAATAATAAGAGCCTCTAGCGTGTTAGGAAACGAGACAGATCAGTTGACTTGATTTTTAAGGGCTGGTAGTGGCAATCAAATTCAAATTCAAGATGTCACCTTAATATGTTAATTATATTGCCTCCATTATTTAAGTGCATAGAGTAACACAAGGAAGTAATATCTCTCTTCTGTGTTTGCACCCCCAATTATCAAACTCCAGTGACCTCGTCTTCCTCAACCAAAAAATGGAGCCTTTTTCTCTCAATCTCATGTTACCTGCATTTTGCTCTACATGCCTTCACCTATTTCTTCTCTTTACTTTGAACTCACTCTGGTTTGGCCAAAACACCACTGCCTCGCCATCAGGAAACGAAACTGACCATTTGGCATTGCTCAGATTCAAAGAATCAATATCCAGTGACCCATATGGAATCTTGCCCTCTTGGAATAGTTCTACACACTTTTGCAACTGGCGTGGAATCACATGCAGTCCCATGCACCAAAGAGTTACCAAGTTGAACCTACAAGGTTATCAATTGCATGGGCTCATATCTCCACAAGTTGGCAATCTCTCCTTTCTTATAAACCTCAACCTCGGAAACAACAGCTTTCACGGAAAAATCCCGCAGGAATTGGGTCGATTGTTACAACTGCAACAACTCTATCTTACCAACAACTCATTGACTGGGGTAATTCCTACAAACTTGACAAGTTGCTCTGATCTCAAAGTCTTACAATTGGCAGGGAACAATCTTATTGGCAAAATACCAATTGAAATTGCCTCTCTTCGAAAACTTCAATATTTTAGTGTTACAAAAAACAATTTAACTGGAGGAGTCCCACCCTTCATAGGGAATCTTTCATCCTTAACTTTTCTTGGGATGACTTATAATAACTTAGGAGGAGATATTCCACAAGAAATATGTCGTCTCAAAAACTTGACAGCTATAACTGCGGGAGAAAATAAATTGTCTGGTATATTTCCTTCTTGTTTTTATAATATGTCATCTCTTAGTGCAATCTCAGCTCCACAAAATATATTTAATGGGTCTCTTCCACCCAACATGTTCCTCACCCTTTCCAATCTCCAAGTATTTGCAATTGGCGGGAATCAACTCTCAGGTCCAATCCCCACTTCCATTTCAAATGCTTCTGTCCTTCAATTATTTGACATAAATGAAAACCATTTTGTAGGGCAAGTTCCAAGTCTAGGGAACCTACAAGGTCTTCGGATACTAAGTTTTTCTTTGAACAATCTAGGTGACAATTTAACAACGGATTTGGAGTTTTTAAAATCCTTGACAAACTGTAGTAAGTTGCAACTATTAGGTATAGACCACAATAAGTTTGGAGGTAGTTTGCCAAATTACTTGGGCAATTTTTCCACCCAACTCAGTCAACTATATGCTGGGGGTAATCAAATATCAGGACACATTCCTGCAGAATTAGGAAATCTAAATAGCTTAACTCTCTTGACCATGGAAAATAACCATTTTGAGGGGAATATTCCATCTACTTTTGGAAAGTTTCAGAATATGCAACTTTTAGATTTGAATGGAAATAAGTTGTCAGGAGATATGCCATCCAACATAGGTAACCTCAGTATGTTGTATTATTTGGGTTTAGAAGAAAATTTGTTAGAAGGAAATATTCCTGTAAGTATAGGAAACTGCCAAAAGTTACAATATTTAAATCTTTCCCGAAACAATCTTAGAGGAATCATACCTTTAGAGGTTTTTAGTATTTCTTCGTTAACAAGTTTACTAGACTTGTCACACAACTCATTGAGTGGTAGTCTACCTGATGAAGTGGGCCAACTAAAAAATATTGATGAGCTGGATGTCTCTGAGAATCATCTATCTGGTAATATTCCCGGAACTATTGGAGAATGCTTAAGCTTGGAGTACCTTTATTTACAAGGGAATTCCTTCAATGGAATTATACCATCCTCTTTGGCTTCACTAAAAGGTCTTCGACATTTAGACTTATCACGAAATCATTTGTTTGGATCAATTCCTGATGTTTTGCAGAATATTGCTTTCTTAGAATACTTAAATGTATCATTTAATATGTTGGATGGTGAGGTACCAACTAAAGGTGTCTTTCGAAATGCAAGTGACTTAGTAGTGACTGGAAACAACAAGCTTTGTGGAGGTGTTTCAGAGCTGCATCTACCGCCATGCCCTATCAAAGGTGACCAACATGCAAAACACCATAATTTCAGGTTGGCAGCAGCAATAGTTAGTGTAGTTGCTTTTCTTCTCATATTGTCACTCATTCTCGCTTTCTGCTGGACGAGGAAAAGAAGCAAGAAACCATCTTCTGATTCACTAACAATTGACCAGCTAGCCAATGTTTCATACCAAAATCTACACCATGGAACCGATGGTTTTTCAATAAGAAACTTGATAGGAACTGGAAGCTTTGGCTCTGTGTACAAAGGAACTATTGAGTCAGAAGACACAATTGTTGCTATAAAGGTCCTAAATCTTCAAAAGAAGGGGGCTTACAAGAGTTTCATTGCTGAATGTTATGCACTCAAAAATGTTAGGCATCGAAATCTGGTTAAGATTTTAACATGTTGTTCAAGCATAGATTTCAAAGGTCAAGAATTTAAAGCTCTCGTTTTTGAGTACATGACAAATGGAAGCTTAGAAAGTTGGTTGCATCCTGCAACAGAAATTGCAGATCAGCGTAGATCAATGAACCTTGAGGAAAGGTTAAATATTATTAATGATGTTGCTTCAGCAGTTCATTATCTTCACTACGAATGTGAGCAAGCTTTCATTCATTGTGATTTGAAGCCTGGCAATGTTCTTCTTGATGATTGCATGGTAGCTCATGTGAGTGATTTTGGCCTAGCAAGATTGCTCTCAAGTGTTGGAGTCTCTGTGATGCAAAGTAGCACAATTGGAGTAGAGGGAACTATTGGTTATGCTCCTCCAGGTATACCTTAATATTGTTTTGTTAAGTTGTTAAATATTTTAGTTTTAATTTTTAGCTCTTGTTTCTAGATCTTTTACTTCCTTTTGGGTTAATATTTTGATATCTGTGATGTCGTTTACGGATTTGCAATATTATATTTCAGAGTATGGAATGGGTTCTGAGATGTCAATTGAAGGCGATATGTATAGTTTTGGAATTCTGATTTTAGAAATGTTAACTGCAAGGAGACCCACGGATGAAATGTTTAAAGATGGTCATACTCTCCACAATTATGTTAAAGTTACAATTTCCAATAATTTTGTGGAGATTGTAGACCCAACTATTCACCCCAATGAATTAGAAAATGAGAACCTGGGTTTTACGCATCCTAATGTAGAGAAATGTTTACTCTCTCTTTTTAGGATTGCACTTGCTTGTTCAATGGAATCACCAAAGGAAAGAATGAATATGATTGATGTCATCAAGGAACTTAATTTGATCAAAACATTCTTCCCTTGGAGGCCAACTGCATTACAACCACGCAACACTTGATGGAGAGGAGCCACCTTACTATAGCTATCAAGTAGTACTAGCAGATGTTTCATATACTTTCATGTTCCTGTTATCTACTATCTAAATGTTTTGCATGTTGAAGTTTGTCAATTTACATTAAAAAAAAAAGATTTTGAACAGTTGGTAATTTTTTAATCGATCCATTTGATTCCCGCGGCCTCCGTGCATGCTTGTGATCGGTACTTAAATAATGTTGTAATATAAACAGTATTACACCATATCATATGTATAATTACGATCTTCTATTTCCAGAACAACTCAATATGTTGGGATTCATTGTTGCAAGTGATGTGACTATTTATTTAAACCCATATCCTTCTTCTCTCATTTATCCTACTAGTTAGGATGCATGTAAAGAGAAGAATAGAATGTTTAACATTATATTGAACTGAACATTATAACTTCAATTCTCAAAATGTTCACAATAGAAAACAGACTTTTTACTTCATATAAAATACAAAGGATGAAATTAGTGGGAGCCTACTGCCATTATCAAAACCATACCAGCTAACACAAACCATAAGCAGGAATCTAGTAAGTACATCAGTAAATTTCCAATCTCCTAAAACATAAGCATAATTTACAGCTTTGTTGTGTTCTAGTTGTATATAAGCTGAAGCAAATTGCCTTGTTAACTCTTCCTCATAAAGTCACATCTGTAAAATCTAAACATTCTCAACTTCAATTTCATTGTCTTTTCAATTCCTCTCATTGGTTGGTTAAATGTCTTTCAACTCTCATTCTCAACGTCTCCGTCTTTGTTGCCACACTTCTACATTAATGCATTGTCTTTTCAACTTCCCTTACCAATATCCATGTCTGAAATGTTTCTATCTATCTTTGTCAGATTGGCTCTTCGCCTTGTAATGTTTGAAGTTACAAGGGCTATGTAACTAAAACACAACAACTGTCTTGGTTTTATAAATTCAGTTTCCTGGGGAAGGAACGGATTTTAGTGTTATTTTTCACTCTCTTTACGAAGCTTTTCCTGAAATTGTGTTTTGGTTTTCTGAAAACTTTTGGAATATTAAAGAATATTCAAGTCATAAGTTATTTGGTTGTTTACTTCCTATATGGACCAGAGAAACAGATTTTAGTCTATAAATTTTGTTCTGTGCAACGTACGTGGTTTCTCTATCCAAACAGATGATTTCAATTTGTCTTAGTCCTTATTCATCAGATCCTCAGCAACCAAATGTAATTTTTTTTTTCTTAAGTGGTTTTAATATCTGAGCTATTCTTTCTGCTTTTGTCCTGTTCAGTGACCTCTATTACTATGTGAGCTTACTATCAATCACTCTTAATAAAATTCATAGCAACTAATGGATTCAACCACATCAAACCCAAAGTTAGGCAACTCACTAAATCTTGATTCAATCAAGATTCTAAACCAACATCCATTGGCTCATCTATTGATTGGTTTCCAATCCCTTGTCCACTTGCTTCAATTCTAGAATACACATGAACACGATCAATATCAAGATGAGCCAATTGATACTATGTTCTTTTGTCTCCTTAGTTATGTTTTTAAACGAGAATAATGTGTGTGTTATTGTAATATATTTTCTTTGCTAGCATAAAAACACTCCTTTCGCCTCGCGATTCAACGTCCATTATATCCCAAGAAAATTCATGATATGAAAATAAAAGGAAAAACGAGTAAATTATAATTTTTTTTTAATAAAATAAGAAGAAAAACATTATGAATATATGTAAATGACACACCTTATATCATTTCACTCTCATAAAGAAGTGAGACCCACACCTTTACAATTTTTTCCACCCATTCTTTCTCTCATGATTTATCTATTTCTCTCAAGTAAAATGACACAAGTTTGTGTATTTTAAAATGATACACACTTTTTTCCTATTTAAACACATGAAAATCGAAATAAATCACATTTTATCAATAGAAAAGGAGATAAACCTCAGGTTTATCAAAAACTCATAAGCATGGTGTATATTTCCCTCTAGCTTTCTAAACATCTGAATCCATTATTGATCTATCCTTCATGTAACATCTGTCATATACCTATTGGTTGTAATGCTCCATCTAGGGAGTGGAGTTATTTTACTTTTTGCACTTTTATCTCCCTTATCATTCATATTCGTTTTTCAAAATTTTACACGAAAGCCATTAAAGAGCTCTCAAACTAATACATACATAATACATAGGTCGTAATCAAACGTGGACCCTTGATTAAGTCCACTTTTAATTTTCAGTCTATCAGGGTGTGCATGACAACCATTCTGTTCCCTGACACTGTTTCTGAAAAGAAACAATTAATTTTTATTTCTGTGCCTTGGAAGAGTTTCTGAGAAAAAAAAAATGTGTTTGATAACAGGTTCTATTTTTATTCTGAGAATGAAAATTGCGTTTGATAACACAACAAATAATATAATAAAAAATAATTCCTATTAAGCTGGTACTGACGGCAGTGGCTGCGGCGATGGTGGTGGTAATGATAGCAATGATGGTGGCGGTGATGTTGGTGTTGGTGATGACATGGTGGTGGTGGTAACGGCAGTGGCTGCAGCAATGATGGTGGTAGTGGTAGTGGTGGCGGTGGTAGTGGCAGTTAAAAAAGTCTTTATTATCGACGAAATTTTTTGACGGAAAAAAATTCCGTTGAAATTATTGACGGAATTTTCCACGGAATCTATTTTTCGTCCAAAATTTCGACCGAATTCCTTTTCCGTCGAAAATTTATGACGGAAAAAGATATTCCGTCGAAGATTTTCCACGGAAAAAGACTTCCGTCGAAATTTTTTGAAAAAAAAAATAAAAATAAATTATATTTTGTGGACTTTTCGACGGAATTTCGATTCCGTCGAAGATTTTCGACGGAAAAGGAATTCCGTCGAAATTTTTTGAAAAAAATAAAAGAAAAAGAAATTATATTTTGTGGACTTTTCGACGGAATTTCGATTCCGTCGAAGATTTTCGACGGAAAAGAAATTCCGTCGAAAACTTTTGAAAAAATAAAAGAAAAAGAAATTATATTTTGTGAACTTTTCGACGGAATTGAAATTCCGTCGAAAACTTTTGAAAAAAATAAAAGAAAAAAAAAATTATATTTTGTGAACTTTTCGACGAAATTTCGAGTCTGTCGAAAACTTTTGAAAAAAATAAAATAAAAAGAAATTATATTTTGTGGACTTTTCGACGGAATTTAGATTCCGTCGAAAACATTTGAAAAAATAAAAGAAAAAGAAATTATATTTTGTGGACTTCTCGACGGAATTTCGATTCTGTCGATGATTTTCGACGGAAAAGGAATTCCGTCGAAGATTTTCGACGGAAAAAGAATTCCGTCGAAAACTTTTGAAAAAAAAGAAAAATAAATTATATTTTGTGGACTTTTCGACGGAATTTCGATTCCGTCGAAAACATTTGAAAAAATAAAAGAAAAAAATTATATTTTATGGACTTTTCGACGGAATTTCAATTCCGTCGAAAACTTTTGAAAAAAATAAAAGAAAAAAAAATTATATTTTGTGGACTTTTCGACGGAATTTCGAGTCCGTCGAAAACTTTTGAAAAAAAATAAAATAAAAAGAAATTTTATTTTGTGGACTTTTCGACGGAATTTCGATTCCGTCGATGATTTTCGACGGAAAAGGAATTCCGTCGAAGATTTTCGACGGAAAAGGAATTCCGTCGAAAACTTTTGAAAAAATAAAAGAAAAATAAATTATATTTTGTGGACTTTTCGACGGAATTTCGATTCCGTCGAAAACATTTGAAAAAATAAAAGAAAAAAATTATATTTTGTGGACTTTTCGACGGAATTTCGATTCCGTCGAAGATTTTCGACGGAAAAGGAATTCCGTCGAAAACTTGTGAAAAAATAAAAGAAAAATAAATTATATTTTGTGTACTTTTCGACGGAATTTCGATTCCGTCGAAAACTTTTGAAAAAAATAAAAGAAAAAGAAATTATATTTTGTGCACTTTTCGACGGAATTTCGATTCCGTCGAAAACTTTTGAAAAAAATAAAAGGAAAAGAAATTATATTTTGTGGACTTTTCGACGGTATTTCGATTCCGTCGAAAACATTTGAAAAAAATAAAAGAAAATGAAATTATATTTTGTGGACTTTTCGACGGAAAAAGAATTCCGTCGAAAACTTTTGAAAAAAAATAAAAGGAAAAGAAATTATAATTATTGGATTTTTCGACGGAAAAGTAATTCCGTCGAAAACTTTTGAAAAAAATAAAAGAGAAAGAAATTATATTTTATGGACTTTTCGACGAAATTTCGATTCTGTCGAAAACTTTTGAATAAAAAAAAAAATTATATTTTGCGGACTTTTCGACGGAAAAAGAATTCCGTCGAAAATCTTTAAACAAATAAATGAAAAAAAAATATATTTGTGTCTTTTTGAAGTGTGCGTTTCTATTGGGTACTTTTTACTCTTTGTACGTTGCCTTCTTATCTCAAATCTTTCCCTCGCTACCAATTTTTTACAATCTAAAGATCCCGCTTTTTTCTAAGTTATCCACCCTTGCTTCCTCTTTAGTATTCTCATTCATCATCTTCTTCCTCTCTGTTTCTCTCAACTCTCAATGGACATTCCCAAACCCCAATCCCCCTTCAACCACTTCGCCTCCAGGTAGTACAATGCCTTTCGATTTTTCTCTCTCTCTCAACTTTTCTGATCAGCTTTGTTTTCTAATTGTGTTTTTCTTTTTCTTTTTTGGTGGGGTTCATTGATACTGTTCAGAAACAGCCTTACATGGATGGATTGGTCTGGCTTTAGCGAAATTGGAGCTATGGCCATACAACATAATGCCGAAGACGGTTTTCCCCTCTCTCCCTCCTATTTTTTTTGGGTTAAATTTTATCTCGCAAGGGTTTGGTAGATGGGAAAATGGAAATGAAATGGAAAGAAAAATTGTCTTCATTTCTTGTTTTACTATTTACCCAATCGTGATATTATAAAAAATTTGAGATCTTTTTTGGAGTCTCATCGAT